TCGCCCTCTCTCTCTCTCTCGCTCGCTCGCTCGCTCACAACACGACCTGCTTTAACTGTTCAGTTCTGTTTACTCTCTCTGTCACAACACGACGTACTTGTTGCAAGCTGGCGTTATGGTTATTGGGCCCTTTGATGTGACCTGCTTTAATAAATAAATAATTTTTTTAAATGAATAAATAGATAAACCGTCAACAGACAAAAATAAGTTTTAAAATTAGACAAATGAATACAAATTAAAAAGACAAAAATTAAGAAAATGAATAAATGGATAAAAATTAAAAAGGCATAAACACTATAAAGAAGAACGCGGAAGAAAAACAAAAAGAAAAAAAGAACTTTATTAATATAACCCACATCATGTTTATATATCATTTATTTAATATTTTCTTCTTTATCTTTTATTTCCCCAGAGTTTGGAACCCCAATCATCCGCCAGAGTTGTGAACTTTTGTTTAGTTTGTCCATCTTTACGTGACGGGAAAAAAACCCAGCGGTCAGCATGGCTCTTACACCAGGGGCTCCACAGACCAACAAAAGTCTGTTGGAAAAATACCTGACACTGGACCAGCCCGATGACCAGGTACGGCCGCCAGACAGTTGTGCATTGTTTATTTCATGTGTTTTGCCCACTTCATATGGTCGCTTTTAACCCTATCCATATGCCTTGGGGTCATTTTGTACCCCCGAGTTGTTTTCTTCACATTTTAGAATACTTCTAGTGCGAAGATCTCTTTGAAACTTTCAGTATTTCTCAAAAAATCATTTTGGCAGACTGCTATGCAAAGCGTACGGATCGGATTAACGAGTAAATTTCCTCTGTGGAAAGTGGTGACACAGAGGTCCCCATGTCGTATGGATACGATAGTAAAACACGACGTATGGATAGGGTTAAGGACAAGCGGGCTAACTCGAATTTCGGGGGTTTCCAGAAATCTTGACCTAAACCCAAAGTGGGCATTGCCCTACCTATAGGACAGGTTTGGTTTCATTGGTGTGTATATTTGTTTGGTTATAGAGAAAATGCTCCTTGAGTTATAAAGAAACTGAACATGGGTTCAAAAGCTTTACCTTCGATTTCCTCAAAACAGCATTTTTCGTTATAGCCCCCTTGTGCTTATCATCATTTACATTATCGTCATCATCAGGTTTTAAAGTAGAAAAAATATACTTGAGACTTGGTTTGGGTTGGTTACATTGAATTAGATGCTTGTATTGGCCTGATGTTCATCATCATCGTCATCATCATCATCATCATCATCATGTCACTCCTACCTCAAACACACGTTTTCCCTACCCAGGTCATGGCTGAGTATGTGTGGATCGACGGCACTGGTGAGGGAATCCGCAGCAAATGCCGTACCTTGGACTCGGAGCCCAAGAAGCCAGATGGTAGGTTTCACTTTCAGTTAACCGGCCGCTTTATGTATGCATACATATTAGATCTATGTTGAGTAGGAACTTTTCAACTGGTGGATTTTTGGGAATGGAGTCTGAGTAGGGTCCGGATTATTACTGGGGGGGGGGGGGGGGGGGGACCAAATCTGAAGGGGATCTGGATTATTTACTGGGGGATTTTTTGGGAACCAAATCTGTGAAAGTTCAGGATTATTTTTCGGGTTGTTGTTGGGTTGTTTTTTTTTTGGGGGGGGGGGGTCTTCTTTTATTTGGAGTACCCCTCTGAGTGCTGTACCTTTCATGGTAGAACCGTAAACTTGAGCCCACCAACAATGATTCTATGGAAGCGTTAAAAAACAAAAACTATGGTTCAATGAGATCTTTTACGAAAATGTAGGCAAGAAGACTTGACCATCATAATAACAAGGAGAAGATGGAGATGGATTGGTCATGTTCTAAGGAGAGAACCAGATTCTATTGTAAAGACTGCCCTCCACTGGACACCCGAAGGACATCGCAAGAGGGGCAGACCCAAAGTGACCTGGAGACGCACAGTAGAGTCTGAAATGAAGTCCTGGAGCCGTTCGTGGGGGACGTTGACCAAGATGGCTCAAAGCTGGAGATCCTTTGTTGCTGCCCCAAATGCCAGATGGCGTAACGGGTAGTAAGTAAGTAAGTATGATTCATTAGGGGCGTAAAAACATGAACAAAATCCTCCTTCCCCTTCCAGACTGCCCCGTGTGGAACTTTGACGGGTCGAGCACGTACCAGGCCGAGGGCTCCAACTCCGACATGTACCTGCACCCGTGCGCCATCTTCCGCGACCCGTTCAGGGGAGGCAAGAACAAGCTGGTGCTCTGTGAGGTCTTCAAGTTCAACCACAAGCCCGCTGGTGAGTCTGTCCTCCATCACCACTCGTTGGGATGTCGTGGGGGGGGTTTGGTTGGTTTGTTGTTTTTTTGGGGTTTTTTTTTAGGGGGGAGAGGGTTGTTGTTTTTTAGTTGGTCTTTTCTTTTGAGGGGTGGGGTTGGTTTCTTTGTTGTTTCGTTTTTAGTTTTTAAATTGATAACATATGTTGTATTTGATTTGTCAGTCCTGTCTCTGGGGTATGTGTGTATGTTTTGTCGTTTTTGGGTTGTTATTTTTTTTTAAATGTCTTTGTTCTGTGTTATTCTGCCTCTTTGTCTCTCTCTCTCTCTCTCTCTGTCTGACTCTCTGTCTCTGTATCTCTCTCTCTCTTTCTCTCTCTCTCTGTATCTCTCTCTCTCTCGGTCTCTCTCTCTTTTAGTCCGTCCATTTTTAGGTGGGTTACGACTCACCACATGCCCCATCCTTCTTCTTCCGCATCGTTGTTTCTGTTCATTTCTCTGAAACAGCTGGGCTTGCTTTTGAAATCACCCCTGTGTCTACTTTGTCTTATGTAGACAAAGCAAAATGTCCAACAGCATCATGTTGTTTTCAAAGTGGAAAGAAAGAGCCGCTTTCAAAGCTTCTTTTTCAGTCAGTTTTTAGGCGGCGGTTACGACTCGCTGCATGCCCCCCTGTTTTTTCTTCCGTACTGTTGGGTTTATTTATTTATCTGAAACTGCTGGCTTTTGTTATGATCTCTGTGTCTAGGTAGTTTCATAGATAAACAATCTGACATCGGTGGCCTAGTGGTTAGGCTACAGGACTCGCAGAATATCTCTAGATTATGGGTTCTAGCCTCAGCTCGGTCCGACGCTGTGTCCTTGGGAAACGCTCTTTACATGAATTTCCGACTTAGTTCGGTCCTTTCGGAGATACATGTTAAACTCTGAGGTCCCACCTTTTAAATAACCTAATAGTGTTGATAGGGGCGTTAAACATACTTATACCATTTCACCAGTAGATAAACTACAACAGATCCAACAACAGGTTGGTTTCGTTTTGTTTTTTTGTTGTTGTTTTTTTAAAGGAAAGAAAGAGCTTTCAAAGAACGAGCTCGTCAGCATTTATTTCAATGGGTTTATGGTGGCATGTAGTGTATTCTTTATGGTGATATGCCGTGTGAAAAGGAGTTATAGACGCATATGAGCTTGGAATTCTATAAGTTTATAGACAGGGATGAGGCGATTAGATGCTGTGTTAAATATTCTACCAAAGATGACTGTTCATTTTGTGGCTATTAATGTTTTTTGGGGTTTTTTTTGGCATCCCGTACATTTTTTGGCGAATCTCGAATACGTGTTTAGCTCTTACTGTGCATGTGGTGTATGTATGAGTGTTTGGTGTGTGTGTGTGTGTGTGTGTGTGTGTGTGTGTGATTGAGATAGGGGGTTGGAAGATACAGAGATAGAGAAAGGGACTGAAGGGAAAGAGAGCAGTAGAGATATAGATGTATTTTTGCACATAGCTCAAGTGTTTTTGTTTTCGAAACACGATTGACTATGCTACGAAGATAAATATGGGATACTAGCTGGGCCCCCTTTCGATGAAAGGAATGATCCCTGCATTAACATCAACTGAAAGTCATTGGCCTACTATATTTACATTCTACTGGAATGGAGCAATACATTTTTGAGACATGTAACAATGATAAGGTCTCGATCTATACTCTCAAAACAAAATGCACCTCACGAAATATCACTTCCGGTGCTTCTGCTGTGGAGGACAGCTACTCAGATTTGTTTCGTTTCTAAGTGGAATTATCGCAAAGGTCAAAGAAGGACAGGAACTTTTTGTCAAATAATCTTTTTTTCTGAATTCAGGAAGTGAGTGAATAAATAAAAAATCGGGCTCCGCCTTGGGGACCTATCTATCTTTTTGCAAGCACTTGCCAACTTTCAACTCTGTAGCTGTCGTAGATTTGTGGGAAAAGTGACACATGTGTACCCAAGTTGCCAAATATATAATAGACTATTCAGCCGTGAGGCCTGGTCTTTGTATACTGTAAATCTATGAAAGGAGAAATATGACGATCCAGGAATAGAATAGGAGAGAGATAGAGACTTAAAAATTTATGAAGACCTAAAAACGATTACAAATGTATCCCCTCCTCTACCAAAAAAAAAAAAAAAAAAAAAAAAACTCA